AACACAATTGAAAAATTACGCAATAAAAAAGTACAAGATTATGTTGTGCTTGTGGTAAAAGAGAACTGGTCCAAGAGACTTTATCAAAAAGGAAAAAAAGATTGGGAAGGGAATGTGTGTCATCGTTTTCAGAAAGCCTGCTAACAATTTGAATCAATTTCCAGCAGGAGACGTTTAAATGATCCAAGCAATTTTCTCATTTCATTGAGATGCATAAAACAGAAAGCTAGAAAAAGTTCATTAAAACAAATTTAAATGACAAGACAAACAGGAATGTAGTCAACTATGAAAGCTAAAAATATTGCTTGAGTACAACAACAACAGTATGACAGTAACAATATAAAATATACATTATAAGCAAATAATCCCAGAGAATAAAAGATATCACAAATTAATTAGTTTGTTGACAAAAGCACCTAGCTTCAATTCATACCACTAAAGTCCCATTTCCGGAAATCTGCAGTACTGTAAGTGGTCATTCATCTTTGAGTCGAAGATATTTACCGCCGTAACAATGATCCAACAATCCCTTACTTTGGAACACGACGGATTTCATTTGAAAGCCAAAAAGCAGATGTTATCACAGCCATCGATATATTCTGATGCATGGCACCCAAATAGACTGGCACATAGTGTACCTGAAATTTGGAATTCACTAGTAGTTCGGCATCACGAAATTCATGGATTCGAATAAAAAGAGCATGAGTCCGAGTAATCCACAGCTGTTCACATTCTCAGAATTATCAGATGAATCTAAAAAAACACTGATACTCAAGTCTAGATTACTTGATTCGAAATACGTGAGGATTGATTAATGGTGGGCTAGGGATATAGTTTGTTATTCATCGTAAAATTCTATAATAACATGAAACTTTCTCCATTCCTTTTAAGAATGAAAAATACCTAAAAATTATAATATTACACCTAAATCTTTGAAACCCAAGAGAAAGAATTCGATTAGGTTTTAAAAAGCAAAGAAAACCAAATAAAAAACTTGAATGATTTAATTTACTCTACCAGAGTAGCTATCCCTATAACTGCCTGCAGGTATATCAAACCCATCAGTGAATGTAATGCAATTTTGGCACGCCGACTAAGAAGCATACGACATCCAAAAAGCCATGTGAGCGTTACCGAAAGTAATGTTAAGTAAGCCTGTAAATGAAAAGTTGCGATAAAAAGCAGTTTTCAAAAAATAATGAACAATTTGATTTTAAAAGTATAGAAGATATTGATGTCAGGAATCTTACAAGAGTACAAGATCTTTTTAACCCATATTTGTTGAGGACAAGAAGAACATCCTGGAATCGAAATCATAGGAAACATAAAAAATTAACCATATTTCGATGCATGAATTGGGCAGTTGCTGGATTTTCGAAGATATTGCGCCACTTCGGATCTTTAAACCATAAATCTTCTGGGAGCCAGCTCCCCGCATATTTCGGCCATGAATTGTAAACTAATCCTGCATCCAAGCCCGCAACGAAAGCTCCTGCAATTGGAATGTAATTTCAAATTGTAGGTACTAAATACTTCCATATTTTTTTCGTTTCTTTGTTCAAGAATAAGCAAAATTAACCCATCACTGCGGTCAGAATTATCATTGTTTTCGAAAAATGTGTCATACCACGCAATCGTCCAATTTTGTTAACAGTTGTGTGCTGAAAATTAATTTATTATGCACACCACAAAATTTATAAAGAAAAACTGGACGAAACAGAACAAAGCTTGCTTTCTTTTTCTTTCAATGAAAGGTAAGATTCGATCCTTAAGTGTTCCAATTCTAAATTAGTATCAACACTCCATTTTTACATAGAAGAAATTCACTGAAATATTTGACATCAAGGACATAATATGTTAGATTGCCTCTTAATCAACTTTTTCTTTTCCTTTTTTTTCTTTTTATGAAAAAAGGAAAACAAACAATGCCGCAAACAACCCATTCAATTAGATTTTTCTTTTCAGCCGACCAATTCTTGCAACTATAACTTCCCAACCAAAGTTATTTCTTTATTTAAGAAAAGCATTGAAAAGATTATCTCTATAATGGTGAAGAAACTTGGAAAACTAATATGAACAGTTAGAAGATTAAGAAAAAAAAATCTCCATTAACCCTTATCTACCACAAGATCACTGATAGAATAAAATTCAGTTCGACCAACAAGCTTAAATGTTATATTAGATTTAGATTTATCACTCCTACTCAATCATTTCAAACAAATTTCGGAAAAAGTAACATACATCATGGGGCGTAAAAATATGTGAGAGACCAGTCCACAAAAACACGGTGTAAAGAACAAAAGCTAGTGTCAGATGAGTGGCTAAACGATATTCTGAAACACGAGGTATTTCTTTGTTAGAATTGTTCTTTGGATCCAATCCTGATTTCACCATCCACCAACCAATGAGTCCCTGAAATGTGCATAAACAATATGACGCTGGAAATTATTTTAGTTGAGAAAAAAAACCAAGGCTTCACGAGCTTTCAAAGCAGAAGTTCTAGTTATTTTGATTAAACAACAGTCATAATATGAACAAAATAACTTGCCTGTAAACAAATCAGAGTACCAGCAATAAACATTCTTTTTTTCATTGCAGAAGAGAAACGACCTTTTGCCCAGAAAAATGCACATGGAACTAGGAAAATGATGCCCAACGTTCGTCCCCACATCCGATGAATGTATTCCATTGTCCAAATAAATTTGAATTCTGCTAACGTCATCTCTTCATTACTACTTTTGCTATAAAAATCGTGCAGTTATATATTTTTCTATGGTCCATTGTCATTTTCAAAGAAAAAAGTTTCTCATATTGACTGTCAAGTCAAGTATCCTTTTACAGATTATTAAAAACCACATCGAAAATAATCATTTTTGATTAAATGCAATCGACACTGCTTATGATTAATATGGCACATACAATTTATACTCTGGAAACTGCTTATAACGTTCGAATTCGGTTTCCCACTCTTCCTTACTCCATGGCGGTTTCATCGTACGGAACAAATCCCAGTTGACCATACTCAGTCCTGATTCTGTTAATCTGAAAATAGAAATCTGATCATTTAGGAAAATAATAATAAAAGATCCGCCAAATGACTCCAACCTTGGAATAATTAAATAGATAAAGGAACTAGAAAGGAAATATTGGAAATTTAAATCATGCCTTGTGATACCTCCCAAAGCAACTGCTCCGTAAACCATTCCAGCACATCCCAACAACCACGCTCCGATTGTTCGACGCTGTGCTGGTGTTAACTGATGTGACAGTGAAACTCCAAGTACCAAACGCCTTTTTATAGCATCCGTTCTGAAACTTCAGTAAGAATGACGTCAAAACTGAATGAATGCCGGTCAACAGATTCATCAGCAACATCACAATATTGCACTGCCCCGAAACACTATCTGCGGTCGTCACTAACCAAAGCAAATTTTCATTCAATCAAAAAGAACTAACATTCGAGGAATTTTAAAAGATGCAAACGCTTCCTTCATGTTGCTACCGAATGGTGGACCAGTAAGAAGTGATGACTTTCCGATAATGTTATTGGATGATCGACTAGTCAAAATGCGTGCTAACAACGACATCGCTGAAATATAATTTTTTCTTTTTGGTAATGCAGCAAAATTATTGTAATGATTACATGAATTGATAAGCAATTCTTGATTTAGATAAAATTTTAACAAGAAAAAAAAAGATATATTTCTTATAGATGCAAAATAGCAAAGAACCCCATACACAGTTGGTAATTAACTGCCCAATATCTGTTAAAAAAAAAAAACTAGATTCGTGAATAAAATCTATTCCATAAACTTGGAAGAGGCAACACACGACAACATCGAAATTGGCTGCAATGAAAACATCTACTACTACTTTTGCTACAACATAACAACTCAGTTTACAGTCATCATAAGCTATATATTTTATATATTAATTAAAATACAATACGTTTCTTACGAGCTACTTAGAGAACTATTAAGAAAATAACGATCATTAAAGCTTTAAGCACAATCTACCGGGTGACCATAAGTTAGTGACAAGTGAACTAACTAATCAATAACAAGTCTCAAGAAGTTGTTCCATCTGATAAAATCATAATAAACGACAAACGGACATTGAGAAGGCATAAAAAAATCAGAATAAGAGACAGAATAGGTTAACCCAAATATTACTAATTAACTCAACTTAAGCAGTTAATTTAAAACATGAATTCAATTCAACAATACGAAGCCACATGGTTGGACTAGGATGGTTAGGCCGCATCATATTAAGTTTATGGAAACATGTTTGAACTTGAATTATCCTAAATTAACAGCGAAGTATGTTAGTATTGACTTTTGTGCCTGGAAAGAATAATGAGGTAAATGATAGACAGATAAAGACTTAGTTTTACAAAGATATATAATACACATGTCAACTAACTTATTATAAAATACCAACTGAATAATCAAAAAGTACTCGCTTTAAATAAGACGCACTTCTTTAAACAATACCTACTTTAAGGCATTTCTCAATCTCTGCCATGCGATAATTTCTGTCACACTACTCACTCTGTTGTTCATCATACACAGTACATTACTAGAATTAATTATATCAATCCATTTAATAGAAAAGACTAGTACAATCAATAAAGATCATAATTACCCTTACATATAAGGAAGAAACTTTTCAGCCTCGTATCAACTGTTCTGGATTTAAAAAATTCTTATAATGCCTCATAACTGGACAAAACTTAACAGCTCGAATTCCAACAAAATTTACTAATAATTCATCAAAACAAAATCTTTGCCTTGGATAAATGTGATAAAAGTTTAGAACTTTAAAACGTTGAGAAACGTTCTAGTTTAGAAATGTATCCAAATTGAATTATTATGGATTCTGTTTTTTCTCATATAAGGGCAACTTCGGAGTAATGCCCAGTGTTTCAAATTTGAAACGCCAATAAGCAACAACCATCCGATCCCAAACATTCCCCAAATCCGTTAATGCTGGCCGAACATCTAATATAGTGAATAATTTTGACTTTGGATCAACGGCACCACCATCGTAAAAATCGATTATATAATGAACCTAAAATTGATTTCCTTTCCCATTCAGTGACATAAGAAAATTTTATGAGTTCAAAAAGCACGAAATGAATCTTTCTGACATTCATTAGGTCAGACAAAATAGTATTTAGAGAAATTACATCCATTTCTCCAGACCATAGATAGGTTTGGAAGAGTCATCATTCCCCTTCTACCTTTTCAGACCAATAACTATTCGTCAAATACTACTAACTTAACAAACATTAGTAATTTCAATTTCATTTTTTTTCTACAATTAGTCTAAAAAAATTAAACTATAGAAGAAAAAGAAGGAAAACAAACATCTTTTTGTCCACATCGATCTACTGTCCAATCATGCCGATCAAACGGTAAATCGTATCTGAAAAAGATTCTCTAGATGAGTTCACTTTTACAGAAAGTAAACAAGTGTTAGAAAAAAACCTGTAAATATCATACGATGATAATACGAACAAAAGCTCTCAAGGAAATTAAAAAGAAAACAAACCCCAGTAACTGTCTCACTCGAGCTCGTGGAGAAATCTTTTGAGCATTGCCATGGAAATTTTTCAACTTCGGACAGCTGCATTCACTGCAACTTACCATTTAGTTGGCAAAAAAAAAAAAAACAAAAAACTGACTTAGAAACCTAACGTCGATAAGAACAAAAGTATTAAAAAGCTTCTTGGATTTGCAAAAATCCAGCTGACTAATGACAATTGTGTGAAAAGCAAACTAACTGCATCCAACTAATAAACATATTTCTTCCTTTACTGAATCCCTGAGTGAAAAAACAAAAATTTCTAAAGAAAAATTATGGGCTTCATTTTTGGAAGTATGAAGTAGGCATAGAACTAATTCTTCCGCTTCAAGCTGGAGAAACTGAAAATGCATAACATGTAAAGAAATAAAACTGATGAAATATATGTAAAGGAAGTTTTCTTTCCATAAAATGCTTTTTATAAAACTTACGGATGTAGAAGCATTTCCCACTTTAAGATTTCACGCCATACTTCCTCGTTATTAGCATTATGGATTTTGATAATTTTATTCATATCCTTTGCACTAATCTGATCATCCTTCCATTGCCATCCTGTAATCATCGATGAATGATATCCTAACAATTTACTAATGAGTATCAATCAGTATCAACATTTCAACAATTGATTTCAATTCATATACCAACAATACCTTTTCTTAGCATAGCATTCCAAAACATTTGTTCTGATGGATATTCCCAATAACCATCTTCAGTAGCTTTCGGAATCGTTGACCGTTGTCGTTCGGTACTTAATGAAAACGGTTGGCCAGGAGAAGGTTTTTGATTAGGAGGAGGCATCTGTAAATATAATACTTCATGATGTAAAACTTTTACTGTGTACATTCATTTTTGATTCAAATTGTTGAATATAATAAATTCAAACAAACTGTTTCACAAATAACCTACAGCATTTAACTCATTGAATTTCGACTCTGAAGTACATCCATCCTCTCCACTCTTCGTCTTATTTTGATACCTAGGACATTCCGAAATTACAGATTTAACTGAATCCATTTCTTTTATGCCAACAGAATGCTCTTTAACCGGTTGATATGGACAATCGAGTTTCGAAGACTGAAATTCATGAAAAAGCTGAGATAACAAAAAGATGGATTAAAACATAAAATAGTTGAGGGCACTATAAACTAAGTGAGACGATACTATTAACTAAGTGAGACAAGCGGAAAGATGAAATGTATTACCTCAGGTTGAGAAGCTTCACGTGACATTTGCGATGACTGCCAATTGCCCATATCGGTGGATTCCTGAGATAAAAAGAACACGTAATTGAATAGAGAAATAAGAATTATAGACAAGAATAGCAAATGATTCAAATAAGAAGAAAGTCTTCACAAAAAAAAAAAAAAAAAAACCAATAAGAAATTCCCTCCGTCCTAAATCTCGTCAGACCGCGTTTTACACTCAGCATGACCTGTTTAGAAACCCGAAACCATCAAATACTCAAAAGCCTACTGGCGCGACAGATTTAAAATGTCCCGAATGGGAGCGGAGTAGGGACGACAGTTTGGGAGTTTGCACTGGTCTGGTGTGGTTTGTTGCCATTTAGTACGTTAGCTGATCTTCTCATCTGTCTCTCTTTCTCTATTTGCATTGTGATTTTTGTCAGATAGTTGAGGAAAATAGAAATATTGACTTGATATATCCTAACCGGAACTATCCGGTCATACGATACAGGAAGTATACTTCGCCGATTAGCACCGTATTCCGGAAATAATTACAAATGGGACGCTTGTTTTGGAGATGTTATTGACAATCCTAATATATGCAATAACATCTCTTGTTTTATTACCTTAACAATTATCACTCTTCACTATCATTTCGCACTTTCCTTCCGACCTTACCATCATGGTCATTGCTCAACTATGATTAGGAATTATTTTACTGCGATGAGTCATCGCCTTATCTTGGTGGACGATTGCTTCTTTGCGACCTTTATTGGAATTAAGTAATTATGTTGATTTTTCACTATCACTTGATGAAAACGTTATGATTTGAGACTAAACAAAGCAATAGGAAGATAATATACAGGTTTCCGATTGACCGAATAACTCACATTTTACATTTGACTTTTTTATATTGAAATGACTACTAAAAAGACTTATGAGAGTAGTAAGTATGGATATAAGATGCAAAACTTTTGTAAATCGGCCCGTTGTTCATTTAACTATTCAGTCCATTAATCAGTCAGTTAGCACAGCAGTTGTTCAGATAGCTCATCATGTCAATCAGTCCGTTAAATGAATAATTATTTCATTTAGTCAGATTATTCATCCTTCTAATCAATATGCTAATTAAATAGTGTCCAAGGTAATCCAATCAGTGTGGTTCTCGATGTAAGTTTCGGACGTCACAGTTGGGATGTGTTGCGTTCTCATTTAATTGATTTTAAAGAAATGAAGGAGTGAAAAGGATTTATATGCGAATTAATTGGGTTGGTAGTCAGTTAATAGGTTTGTGCGGTTGTGTTGCGGTTGTTTTATCGTTGTCCTATCGTTTTGGTGACTTATTCTTTAATTGGTCGGTTGATCGAGTAAGGGGTGCATTTATAGTTTGAAATCACGGTCCCTTTTTGTATTTGAAATACGAACATTCTGTTATTGTTTACCTTCATATCACCAGACAATTCATGTAATATAATTTGAGTAATTTATGATTGAATTATGGAATGGATTTTTTCACGAACTTTTTTTTAACGAATTCTCAGTTATGAGTAAAATACTGATGATATACAAAATAATCACTGGTGTACTAGTAACAAAATTTGACTGACCGGTGAATCGGTACTACCTTACATTTTACCATATTTATCGCATTTTTTGCTCGCAATACATCTAAAATTTTTATTTCCAGAATTGGACATCTCATTATCACTACCAACTGGTTGGTCGATTTCGCGTGGTAAAAAAGGAAGTGAGAGTTGATAGAGGATATTGGTGAGGAAAGCTTTGTAGAAGTAGAAGTTAGCTGGTCAATCAACAATGCGAGAAATTCTTCAAGTTCAAGCTGGGCAATGTGGCAATCAAATTGGCACGAAGGTTTTTGGAATTTTCCAAACACTTTTCTGTTTATTTGTGGTTTTTATGCGTAACAATTGGTAGTTTATCTGAACGATGTGGAGGAAATGAGATTTTGCACAGAAAGTAAGGTAGAAAAAGAGACGAAATGCAGCTTATCATTTGAGGATAAAGATATGATTTACATGATTAAATGAAGGGAAAGCTGTTTGACTGTATTAGTACAAGTGACAGAGTTGACCGATTGCATGTGTTACATGCTCTTCAGGATATTAACCATCATGGAAGTCTTTGTTTCGAGCACAACTAATATCGTATATTGCAGTTCTGGGAAGTGATTTCGGATGAACATGGTATACAGCCTGATGGTATATACCGTGGTGAATCGGATCTGCAGCGCGAGCGTATTAATGTTTACTACAACGAAGCAAGCAGTTAGTGTTTGCATTTTCAGTTGAATAGTTCCAGCAAAGTCCCAGCAAGATATCGAAAACCGATGTAATGGTGGCTTTGTGAATTGCTTGGGGCCTGCATTTTTAATCAAATTACAATCTGTTGTCTCATTTTGAAGTTTTCTTCATCAGGCGGCCGTTATGTTCCACGTACCGTTCTGGTTGATCTGGAGCCCGGTACCATGGATTCGGTTCGCAACAGTCCGTATGGGAAGCTCTTTCGCCCCGACAATTTCGTTTTTGGTCAAAGCGGTGCTGGTAACAACTGGGCCAAAGGACATTATACGGAGGGCGCAGAGCTGGTTGATAATGTTCTGGATGTCGTGAGAAAAGAAGTTGAAGGATGCGACTGCCTGCAAGTTAGACTTGCTTTCACTATCAAACTTTGCTTTTACGTTTCGTTAAATGTTTCGCTAACTGAAAATGATGTGGTGGCTAAATAAGACGTTATTGATATTTTCAGGGTTTTCAACTCACTCATTCGCTGGGAGGTGGTACAGGCTCAGGCATGGGTACCTTGATGATTTCAAAAATTCGTGAGGAGTATCCGGACCGCATCATGAGCACCTTCTCAGTCGTTCCATCTCCAAAGGTTTTTTCTAGAATATGTTTCATATAGGGCTCGAATAGTTATGTTATGAATAACTGTGCTACCTATAATGCTAATTCAACCGCTTTTTAATCAAAAATTAATATATTCTTAAAGAAATTGACATTATTATGTTCTCAATGAAAGTTCGGGACTCGATAAGTTGGGTGATTACTAAATGAACTTTATGTAGCTTTCTTTCAAGGAATGCTTTTATTTTAAAATGCGTAAATTCTTACTTATAGGTCTCGGATGTTGTGCTTGAACCATATAATGCCACTTTATCAGTTCATCAGTTAGTTGAAAATACAGATGAGACATTCTGTATTGACAACGAAGCACTGTATGATATTTGCTTCCGAACTTTGAAGTTAACAAATCCTAACTATGGCGATCTCAACCATTTGGGTATATTATATCAACATTTAGTTCTAAATGGTTACGCTTACACTGTGTAGTCAGATTTGCTTGCATGACATCGTTAACATATAATGAGATGTCATGGTATTTTTGCTGTGATTTATTATAATTTAGTCTCAATGACAATGTCTGGAGTGACAACCTGTCTTCGTTTTCCCGGCCAACTTAATGCTGATCTCCGTAAATTGGCGGTAAATATGGTTCCATTCCCACGTCTTCATTTCTTCATACCGGGATTTGCACCACTTTTCGCACGCGGTGCAGCTGCATATCGCGCTCTGACCGTTGGTGAACTCACACAACAGGTTAGTTTTTCAATTGACCATGTCATATATTTGGAAAATTCGAGACCTATACTTTCACACTTGGTTGTGTGTAAAATAATTTAGCTATCTCTTTTCCCTTCTTTGGTGGTAGTCATAGAAGATGCATTTTAGGTTTTCGATGCAAAAAACATGATGGCAGCATGTGATCCACGACATGGTCGTTACCTCACGGTGGCGGTTATGTTCCGCGGTATGATGTCGATGCGTGTATGTTTTTTTTTTTTCACAAATTCTATGTCCATTTCAAGTTCAGCACTATTCATTCGATGATTCTTTCAATCCCATGGATTCTTTGATGCAGATGGATTTCAGGAAGTGGACAATCAGATGTTCAATGTACAGGACAAGAATTCATCCTATTTCGTGGAATGGATCCCGAACAACGTCAAGACAGCTGTTTGCGATATTCCACCGCGTGGCTTGAAAATGAGTGCCACTTTCATCGGTAATTCGACAGCTATTCAGGAGCTCTTTAAACGTATCTCGGAACAGTTTACTGGTACGTTTTTTTTAGTTATTTCTGGTGATACTTTTGCCAGCCAGTATTTAAAGTATTGTATTGTATTCTATCACATCATCATCTACAGATTTATTGTCTAAATGAAATGTGATTTATAGCAATGTTCCGTCGTAAAGCTTTCCTTCATTGGTACACTGGTGAAGGAATGGATGAAATGGAATTTACCGAGGCAGAGAGCAATATGAATGATCTGGTGTCAGAATATCAACAGTACCAGGATGCTACCATTGAGGATGAGGGTGAATACGATGAAGCTGACAATCATGAATATAACAACCAAATTGAAGCGGAATATTAAAACCAGGAAAAAATTCGCATCCGTGCACATTCTCTGTCGTTAATTACTCCTGCCAAATTTACTTAAAAAACCTTTCCCATTGATTTTTGATTTTATCATTGCTTGAGGTAATTCACTGAAACATTAGTTCCAGTTTAATTACTAAGTAGAAAAATATTGGTTATTTGAGCTTAGAGTTTGTGCAAATGCAAAAGTGCAACACTATTAAGCTATTTTCTGGGAAATGGACCAAAAATAAGTGGAGTTTGTGAAAATGGAAAAGTTCTCTTGGTTTCACTTAATAATATTTATAGAAATATCCTCTCCATTCAAGAATAGTTTTAAGTGGATTGTATACCGGTGAGAACGATGTGGAAGAATGATGTTGGTTTTAGTTAATAATACTCATTTCGATAACTTGCGAATAATTTTATTCATCCCATACAAGACATTAAATTCTCCCTATAATTTTCCTAAATGGCTTTATTTTAGCATGAAATGTAAGGCTTGATGAGGATTCTTAAATTTGGGAACTCTGGAATTGTTTGTGCAAGCATTCATTATATCTCTTTTCTTCTTTCCCTTTCCCATTTCTTCTCTCCTTCTCTCCTTCCCCCTCCTCTAATCTCTTCTCTCTCCGCAGATCTATAGACATATACCTCTCATTTTATTCATCTCATCCCCGTACCACACACACACACAATATATATATATATATATATATATACTCCTAC